TGTCGTCGAACTCTCTGAAACATCCTTGTAGTGAACTAGAGGGCGTGCAATCGTTGCATACGCGCGCCACTCTGGTTACCACAGTTTAGAATCAATCTGTCTATAGTTGTAAATATATTCGTGCACTCTTAAACATAGACTATATATATATACTGTATATTTGTTCCGTACTCAAAAAATTTCATCAAATTCTGGAGCTTTGAAAAAGCAATTATCACTGTAAACAGTAAACCAGTAACAACTATATTTTTGATATATAAATAGCAGTTCTGATAACCGAGTTTGTGTGATCTTTATTCGAACCACCTTAGCCTGTAGCCCAGGGCGCTCTTATGTAGCTATTTCTGCGCGCTCATTATTTGATGCAGGATACTCTATACGGCATGTAGACGGTTTCTACAGTAACAATCAATTAGTATACTTTCTGGGGCCGGTTGTATAAAAACGTAATTAGCGCTAACTGTAGTTAGCGTTAATCACTGTAGTTAAATCCTTAACTGTAATTAGTTAACTACATGACTTAACTGCGTTGCACAAAACGTAGTTAGTCGGATAGTTAACTAATCACGTAGTTAACTGTGCGTGTGGATTGCGTGGGGCGTTTAAACAGAAAATTACATCAAGTAAGCAGCGAGTAACGACCGCTGACAACATTTTCAACACGATTGTGGACTCGTATTTTGCAAATAGGCGGGAATTTTATTCAAAACACTAGAAAACAGTGAAACATAAGCAAAAAAATAAAGAAAAACCGCCACAAAAATCATAAAAGAATGCAGTTTTTCCTCGAGATGTCTACGTTAAACCAAGGTATAGCTGTTTGGCAATTATATGTCAGTGTTTCTTGGTGTAATGGACCATACTTCGTCTTCGAGAAATCCTCCTGTGCAAAAATATGTTCTGTTTTCGTAAAAATACCAAAGCATAGCATTTGAAGAGTTTATATTGTCAGGACTGAAACATTCACAGGGAAGATAGCGATTGAAAATCTCAGGTAAGCGTTGCTTTTCATTCTTGTTTTACTGAAACTAAACCCTAAAGGACAGTTAACTATACCCTAAAGCATAGTTAACTTTAACTACATTTTAACTGCAGTTAAGGCTAACTACACTTTTATACAACCGGCTTAAGTACGTGATTAAAGTTAACCACTTTTGAACTATTTTTGAACTGCAGTTAGCGCTAACTACGTTTTTATACAACCGGCCCCTGCAGTTATTGTGGTACATGAGTTGTGATCTATTAAAAACAGTCGAATGTACACTTTTACCAATCTCGCACCCAGGGTTTCTGCGCGTGTGGCTCTCAGAGAAGATCAACATACAAATGTGACAAGCGATTGAATCGAAATTTAAGGCCGTTTTCCACTAGGCGAATTTTTTCGCGCGACGCGAAGCGAAAACCGAAATCCGGCAACGTGATTGGTCGGCGAAAAAATTCGCGGCGAAAAAGTAGGATCGCTTCCTACTTTTTATCTGTTCGCGCGAATAAATTCGCCTAGTGGAAAACGGCCTTTAAGGCCCGATTCCACGAGGCGGAATTTTTCGACCGAAACGAAATTTCTCTTTGTCTTTTTACAATTAGTTCTGCTCGAGAGCTCATGAAACAAATAGAAATTTCGATTCGGTCGAAAAATTTCGCCCAGTGGAAAACCGCCTTTACACTAAGCCCGTTTTCCACTGGGCGAATTTGTTCGCGTGCATCGCTTATCACGTCAGCAAAAATCAATCATTGAAAAACAACTTTTTCTAGTCTAATAAATACATTTATTTAAATTTTAATTCTCGTCTATATCATTGTGCTCATTATTAATAGAATGTTTCAATTTTCGTCGCAGTTCACGAGATATTTGTTCAAAAGTCTTTCCTTTGGTTTCTGGAACAAAGACGTAAATGAGAGCCCATAGAATGATTATAAATACCATATAGACTATGAACACGTATGGGAACAATGCATCCTGGAAAACATATACACATAATTAGTGTTTGCTTTACTTCAATGACTGAATCGCAGTATGATGTATCCTAAAATGATTCCAAGTTTTACCTGAATGGAAGGAAAGGTGATTGCGATAATGAAGCTTGATAGCCAGTTTGCTGATCCAGCAATGCTTGTAGCAGCAGGTCTCGGGCCTTGTGAAAATAACTCCGCCATCATGAACCAAGGTATGGGACCTGAATCAGAAAACATTCACTCCATTTAACATCCCGAGTTCCGCCTGCGCGCAGGTTCATGACATCGCAAACCTTGGGACTGCACACAGGCTAGGGCCGCTTTTACGAAGGTGACTGTTTCAAGAATTTTAAAACTGTCTCTTGATAACCCAGATTAAACTTGGGTATTTGTAAATTAAAGTTTCTTTTTATTCATTGTCAGATCTATATCCTCGTACCCAGGGTCTTTTTGGGACTAGAGTGTGAGAGAAAATAGCCTGGGAACGAGGTTGATATCAGTGAGACTTCGTTTTTTGATAGTAGTCACATATAAGTATATTAACTTTATAACTTGAAATCAAAACTAGCACACAGCAAGAGAGACTTTAGAAAGCAGTCAAGACCTTGCTATCTAATTAATGTAGCAAAGATATTACCTGGTCCAATTTGAAAAAATGATAGTACAAGAAATGTACAAACAACAGCAACATACTTTAAGTCGTCATGTTCATCCTAAAGAAAGTAAATTCATTAAACACCTGTCTCAAATGATACATAAAGTGTAGAGAGCAAGCTATGCTATTGTATACACCTTACGTATATGTATATTTACCTCTAAGGCGTAACCAATGGTAATTAAGCCATAGGAGAAGAACATTCCTGCTAGACCTGTAAGCATCAAAGTACGTCGACCCAGACGTTCAACTAAGAATACCTAGGATACAAGCATTTGAAATCAGTCATTTGGCAACTGGTATTTGATTCTTGCAGTATTTAACTCTGTCCAAGCATAACAGCTTTGATCCTCTAACACTGGTTAAGGGATTACCCCTTCTGGACCATTAGGGAGATCAGAACGAGTTTCCAATAGAAATAAAGTTCGTTTTACTTTAGTTTGAACAGCTGACAATCAAAGGACTTACAGATATCCCCACCATGAGTATGGAAACAATGCTAGTGCCACATGTCGCCACGTCAGGGTCAGAGATCCCAGCTCTCCTAAATGTTGATGTAGAATAGTACATAACCTAGAAATTAAACATTTGAAAAATATTGCAGGAAGTGGTATAACATCAGTGAAGAATGAAACATGGAATTTACAGACTTAGCCAAACATAAGTGAAACATATGTCCTGAATACATACACTATTAATACCACTGAACTGTTGAGATATTTGTAGCAGTACGCTCAAGAAGAGAGGAAATCTCAGTGACTTTGTTTTGAGGAGTTGTAATATTGTTATAGTCCCCTCTTTTGACTCTTTCACTTTTTCAACCTAAAAATTAAAAATATAATATTGAGCCGCAATGTGCCCCAGTGCACCCTTCTTATTTTTTACTTGACTATAATGATTTTACTAGTCAATGGGGAAGCCTCTACTTATTTTTTTTACTTGACTATAATAATTTTACTAGTCAATGGGGAAGCTTAATGGGTTAATATATCTGTAAGATGTTTAGCAGATATATCAAATAATCTAATAAACACCCCAATCTCTAATACACACTTCCTCTCTAATAGACGTCCCCAGTATTTTATGTAGGACAGACCTTCATTTCATTAATGACTTGTTCAAGGTTGTACGTTCCTTGAAGTTTTCTCAACTCTAAATATAAAATGTTTTCATTAAAGAGAAAAATAATATCTCTTACAGTAACAGATCATGCAGTGTTAATCATACCTTGTCTGGCAAGAGATTCTTTGTTTAATTTAATCAAAAGATAACGAGGGCTAGATGGACAGCAAGGAAGGATTATAAACTGAATGACAGCAGGAACAACACTAAATGACATCACATAGGGCCAGCCTGTTGATGTGCCCAGCACCTTTCAGCGAAAAATAAAATATTAAAAATATTATTAATACATTTTAATAAGTTTTATTGTCTTTCATTGCAGTTACATAAGGAATAATGGAAACTCATATAGGGATCAAATTAGTTCTGAAAAATGAATACCTGATGAAGACCCAGTATATTTGCAACCAGCATGCCAAACACAATGCCAAATTGATTCAAAGTGCCAACTGCACCACGTAAATGTGTCGGGGAAATTTCTGACAAAAACATTGGTACAACGACAGTGTCAATGCCTGTGAGTGAGAAAACAAAACATGTTATATTTGTGCATTACAGTAATTGTTCTTCAGTGTAAACTGTCATGTGTTACCCTTTGGAAATATACTTGGGGGGGGCTTAATAATTTGTGAGTCACAAATTAATTCTCACAATTTCGAGACAGGCTAAGTAAGTACTTTTCTCATTCAGTGAGTAATCTTTTTGCCCCATGGGCAGATTTACTGGGGTTGGGGGGTTAGGGGGGGTTAAACCCCTCCCAGAATCTCTCTAACCCCTCTTATAAAGTGTTCAACCCCACCAAAATTTTGCTTCACCCCTCCTATTTAGGGTGAAAGTCTTTAACCTTAACGCCCAAACCCTGTCGAAGCTCGCTCAGTGGTGCCGCTTGCACCCCACCAGAAATTTATCTACCCCTCCTTTAAAATAAATGAAAATCCGCCCTTGTTTTGCCCACCATTATTAATTCCAATAATGAATCTTCCAATGATCAACAGTCCAGTTGAGGTGACAGTGTGACTTAGGAACACAAATATGCAGCCAATGATAACAATCACATTATTCCAAAGAAGTGTGGATTTTCTAAAAAAATGTGTAAAATGTTAATTAATCTTAATTATTTGGTTATTTATGAGTGGGTATGCATCTCACTCATATGTTCAAAAACATCTCTCTGCTTGAAAACTTTGTCATGTCACTTTCAAAACTTTGTTATTGTTTTCTACCTTTTTAATGTCACAATTTAAACAGAATTTGTGTTAAGTGTTGTTAATGTATTTTCCATATGTTACCATGTTAACACAATGTCTCCTGTTGGAATTTACCTTAACAGGGCCTCATGTATATTAATAATCCCTATTCGCTAAGTGCTTTGTGTACCTTCCAAACATATCAGCCAAAACAGGTCCAACCATCGCCCCTATTAATCCACCAATAGGAGTGATTGAGACTGCAGCTGACCAAATAAAGTCAGTCATTGTCACATTACGACTTGTAAAATAATGTCGAATTACCTTCAAGACAAAAATTGTTTCATATAAATGTCAAGCATAAATACTCTAATTTTGGCTATTTGGTCCGTAGCTTTTATAGTCATCCTTAATAGTCAAGAGTATTATCTTCAAAGAGTCACCCCAGTTTGAGAGCATCAGAAATTAGAATGTCGTCATTTGCAACATTCATTCCACAACAAAGAGTGCCGAAATATAATTTGCATTTCCGAATGTGATTTGTATATTATTCAACTACAGTATTTATGTATGTTTCTGTTTTATGTTATACACGTATGCACTATGCAAATGTTAATGTGCAGAGGAAAAATGTACAAAAACAAGAAACTAAACTAAAAGTTCCACGAAATCTACACTGTATATCAACATTTCTCACTTTGTGTTTAAATGCGATCATTATAAAAATATGTACAATATCATTAATTAATTGGGTTGTCAGCATAGAAAACATTGAACCCCTTCCTTTGTTTACATCTTTCTGGCAGGTAAAAGCTCCCTCAATGAGTTTCGTTATTGTTGTAGGCATTTTAAAATCACAATAAAGAAATCAATATTCCGTACAACTTAGCAATTGAATTGAAAGCAGTACCTTTTCAGGTGTGTTGACCACGGCAATGTTATAACCAAACTGAAACGATGATCCATATATACACACAGACGTCGTAATAAATAGCCAAGGTGTAATTCCACAACAATTCTTTGATCTTCTGCTTGCCAATGGCGTTGATTCGTCTGTTTCTTTGTTGTATAAATAGTCTTCATCGTCTTCGCTCTCAACTTGAGACAGTTGAGAGGAATTTTCCAACGACACCTCCATCTTCGCTTGATCTTCGTCTGATTTTGTTTACTTCATTACACTTGGGTTGAACGAGGAGTATGTAGGGTAATATGGGTACATAATAACCTTTCGAAGATGAGGTACGTTGTGATTTGAGTCCGAGACTCGAGAACAAAGAAAAATATCATACCAGTATTCTTGTGTAAAATTGTCAATATCGTTATGTTACTGGCACCAGTATATTTTTCTTTGTTCTTGTTCACAACGCCAGGGCCGTAGCGATAAGGATAAAGAAGGTGGTGTTGTGTCCCATTTTGCCGACAACATTTGAGTCGCTAATTAATATTTTCCCCCAAAATTGTTGGGGAGCGGAGGGAGGGGGAGATGTTGAAAATTTTTCCCGGACATAAAATTTTTTTCCCGAACATATCGTGTGATGAATGGGGGGGGTGGGGGTGTTACACCCAACCTATAGTGTTGCACAACCCTATCCCTAACGGTCTTGTGATCTCTTCACTAGGAGCTATAAATCCTCCCAGAAAACGTTTACCTTGTTAAAACGTAAAAAACTTCAACAAATTTTTAATATAAATATATCTCATCGACATTGTATCTCTGCATCGCAACTTACTGTATTTATCCAAAACGGAGAATGTTTCATTGAAATTACCGTAATCAGACCATTGTAACCAGACCAGTGTTTTGCCGAAGCCTAAAGTTCATTTCAATAATCTGCAATGCGGTTCACATCATCAAAGATTAAAATTTTTGATGTGAAAATGCGAACCTCCGTATATTTTGATGAAACTCGTCAAGGTGTTAAACAAAATTCACTTGAAATAGTTGACGACGTGAGTGCCATCATGGATAAAACCAACTTAATGTTCTACTTTCTTGGTCGGTTAGGGAAATATATTTTACTTCTTTTCACTTCATTCCATCCGAATGGTCCTCCATTGTATTCATCCATTGTCACTCCTGGTTCTCTTTCTCCCCATTTGTAGTCATTCACTTTCTTGTTTGTCCATCGAACGCCAAATTTGTCAATCCAACTTCTGCGGCGGTTTGCTCCGGGAATGCTTGAATGTCTCTGGAAACGTTGAAATGGAAATGAGTCTGGTGCTCAAGACATAAAACTAATTAACATTATTTGCTCACTCTCATAACTACAGGTTGACCACCATCTGTTGCATGAGAGTACTGGGTGGCCGACCGTTAGAAAAGCGATGGAATAGCGGGGGGATTTTTACCCTGCTATGCAGAGTATAGTTTACTATAGGCTCTCAGCTCTGCATAGCAGGGTGAGGGATTTTCAGGCTTGCACGAATTTTTTTCTGCCGTCTGATGATGCTGAATTTTATAATGGAAGTTTTCTTTGCTCTCCTCTTTGCACAATTTTTTTATTTTGTTTCTCTTTGCGCGAAATTTATTTGTTTTTCCCCACCCCCTTAGCGAGGCCATCTACAGTCTTGCGATATTTTGTGTGACTCGATGGTTGCAAGATATATAAACCTTGCTAACATGCATCTCTGCTAACCCTGACTTAATCTTAGTAGAATTAGGGATGATAATGCACCTGGTTCAATTGTGCTCGCTGTATTGCACTCCTTTTAACGTCATCAAAACCAAAAGGTCCTCCAGCGTATTCATCCATTGTTATCCCAGGCTCCCTCTCGCCCCATTTGTAGTCATTCACTTTCCTTGTTGTCCATTTAACACCCATTTTATCCACCCATGTTCTTTCTTGAGGTTGTTGTACCTTGGGTGCTTTCCTCTGTAGGGGTTGAGCTAGGGGCTGTCGGGAATACGAGGCCAGAGTATTTCGACTTGCAGCTGCCTGGTAATTGTAAGGCTGTCGAGCCGGCTGGACATAGGACGCATGTTGAGCAGGTTGGTAATAAGCTGCAGGTTGTGCGGGTTGGTAAGGTCGCTGTTGTTGGTAGTTCTGTGTAGGATATGGGCTTCGTTTGAATGCGTTATAACTATACAAAGACAAATTACGTAGGTAAGATCGTAGTTCATTCGATTTCGGTTGGTAAGCCAAAAAAAGATAGGGCATAAACCTGGAAGTACTTTTTGCAACGAGTATTTTGTATGATATAGAAGAGAACATGTGTGTAAAATTCAAATCAGAGCTTTAGGCACACCTCATGGCTCAGCTCTCTCTTTTCGCTTTCTTATTTTGTTCCTGAGCATCTTTGTATGTCCAGAAATGTTGTGCGCAATTATTTAATCTGGAGTGAGGTAGACTTTTCCGACGTCAGAATTCTTACAAATGGCCTTGAAATAATATTTACCTACATGCTTCTCTCACCTGTTGATATCTCTCCTGCGTCGAGCAGGTCCCCAGCCAAAAGGTCCGTCTGTATACATGTTCCACTTATATGGCCTGGAGAACGGCGAGGAATATGGCAGAGAATCAGTATTGCCAAAGTTCAGATGATGTTCATGTGTTTTAATTTTGCCGCCATCGTGATGTCTTTGATGGTGGTGATGTTTCTTTTCCGCGAAATCTATAAATCATTACTTTAATTTTATTCATTGATAGTGAATCACATCAGAATCACATCTGCAACTGTCCTCTGTAGAGCAGAAATAAGGGCCATCTCTTATTATCCTGTGCTACTACAGCTGATATAAACTCGTACAATAAGATTCACTGATTCAGTCCGTGCGGCTAGCCGCTCAATTGTATGCATTTCCAGTTTACTGGATAGCTCTTTCCATTCACAAATCTATTCTCTTAAGCGGTTCAGTAAGGGCCATCCATAGTTGATCTATGGAGTTTTATTACTGAGGGGGAAGAACCCGGAAAAGACCTGCAATGTTTTGACATGGTTGGTGCAGTCAAATTGAAAGCAATGCCGTGATCAGCATGCAAAACCATTCAGGTTATATTGAAAATAGAATGAAATAATTTAGTATATAATTTGGTATACACGATCCCAAAAGCTTTCTAGCTTAAAGTCGTTATTATTAGTAGTATTATTATTAAATGGATGTTTTAAAACCTTCAGTAGGAATTTCTTTCACTTCTCCCGTGTTTTTCTTGAGAACCACAATACTAGGATGTTTCAGCCATTTTTTCTTTCTTCCATAAACATCTGCGACCAGGAATAGAACAATGATGAGGGAAAGTATCCTCATTTTTTAGAGGATTTAGGACGACAAATACGGTTCCCGTTTAAATTTTATTTTGATTTTCCTCATGAAACAAGTACCTGTTTGTCACTATGAGATCATGCACTAAAAAACATCTCAAAGAAACTAAGCAAGATGAAGTGACACAAATTATGGCAATGTTTGCTTTCTTATGAGGTTTAGATGTTAGGAAGCGTTCAAAATGATTTCGAAGATCATCAAATCGGGATGAACGGCTATAAACAGGCTAGATACGTTCTGTTAATTGGGCATTTTTGTGTCTGAATCAATCTGTTACGCTTGAGTAGGTTGTATACCTTTTCAGAACAGAACAGAACAGGCCATTTAGACAAGAGCGTGAGAACGAGGCTTCGTGCTAAATTGTAATGTTTCTACAGCAAATTAACACTGAGCATCGACTTGACGTTGTTCTTGAGCACGACTCGGCGCGTAATTCGGAAATGGTTTGATAATTGATATTTTAATGCCCCTACTTTATAACACGCCAAAGATGACCAGAAGAAATATGTTAGGCATTCGAAAGAATAGGCATTTATACTACAAAAAATTGACAAATAACAAATGCATGACAGCAATGTGTGGATCAACGGTCGGTGTGATTTGGTTAGGCAGTGGTAATTTATTTCTGAAGCTTGGTCACGCACTTGAACACAAGGAAAATTTATAAAAACCCGTCGTTTTTCAAAACATTTCTCGGTATAATAAGCGAGGAACAAAAATCAATAAAATATAAATCAAATAAAATACACTTCCTTCTTTTTCGTCGCCATTTTGAATACTTAACTATAAAACTCAATTTCGTATTTTCGTTTCCAGACTCCGACAGCGCGTTAAAACATGGCGGCAAAATTTGATACAGCTTTCGTTTTTCAAGTTTTTGTATTTTCTAGAAAAGAATGCTAAATAATGTTACGTACAAGCTCAGGAAATAAAAGAAACGTTGCTGACGTATCTGACGCAATGGAAGATGATTTAACGTATGTAATTTGTACTAAACTTTTGTAAATATGAACTTTTTAGTTTTTAGAGTTGTTGTATTAAACTTGCAGACGCACTTGATTTATTTGAAAAATAACAATATTAACAACAAAACAGGGTCCATAGTACAATTTGTATATTGTTTTGGCTCAAGTAGTGAAACTCAGCACAGCATTTGAAATTTAAAAACACTTCCTGACTTCCAACATCATATTATGGGAACTTTATTTTGCTCAACACAACAAAATAAAGGTCAAATTTTGCTGTTCCCTATCATATTTCTGGATAAAAAGAATGTGTGAATACAGAATATTGCTGATATTCTCTTGAACTATTTACTTATTTCGCCATTTAGTCAGTGTTTCCACTTTGCAAAGTATAAATTTCTTTGAAATTTTCATTAATAAGAAAAGTTGCATAATTTAATAATTGCAGATTTAGAGTTAACCAACAGTGGCGTGCTGGCAGGGGGGGCCGGGGGGCCACGGCCCCCCCAGCTGGCAATTCTTGGAGGGCGCAAAAATGAAAAGGGGGTGCCAAATTTTGAAAGTGGGTGGGAAAAACGCATTTGCAAAAATATAGTTACTTCCGCCAAGAAAAGATGTGTTTAATTCATAGGCTTATAGACAGACTAAGCGCATAGACTGCAACAAAGTGATATATTAAATTGCAGACTATTTTGTCTAACCGTATTTGCTAATTTGCTAGCTTACCTCACGGCTCACACAAAATCGTTCATATATGATCAGTGATCATACGCAATGTCTCATTGCCGGAATATTGGTCAGGTTTCGGAGCGGTCACGGGAATTATGCCCTTTTTTGCTGGTATTATGCCCTTTATTATGCATCACGAGAGTGGCGCAAATTAGATAGTTTTTATATGATAATTTTAAGTTATGTACGCAATTTAGTTGTTTGTGCAAGAAACATCATGACTCATGAGTAATGTTAAGTAATAAGATGATGCTGAAACGCGCCCTTTTGGCAGCCAAGCAAGGAAACCTTAAAATGCATATGCGTGGGGTCCGTGTGTTATTGTATAAAGAAGCTGTAAGTTGTAAATCTATTCAGATCACTAGATCAGTAGAGAATATAATTGGGATTAGATTAATCGCTGGAATTAGTCAGCATTGCCCAATTCAAGCACTACTACTAAATTCTATAACCAAATTGCAAATTTCGATGTTATAATCCCGTTTCCTGACCATCAGATTTCAGTCAAACCTTCCCCACAAAGTCCAGGAAATGGCATTTCAGAGACCCTAAATTCAAAAATTTTCCGAGGGGGGCATGCCCCCGGACCCCCCTAGATAAACCTCGCACCTGCGGCGCTCGGTTCGTGCTTTCGTCCCTCGTTTATCAAGCGTTACAATATAGGGGCGCATATTAGTTCATAGCCGACTGGCCCCCCCAGAAAAATAGTACCCAGCACGCCACTGTTAACCAACCACCCCACCCTACCACCTACAATGCTGACAGTCCTTTATTTTGTTGCTGTTGTTGATGTTATTGTTTGGAAGTTGTAGCTTTCAGGGTTGTTTATTGGAAAATTGTATTTTCTTCACACTTTTAGTTCCAGCTATGAATTATGGGAAATGTTAGAAGGTGAATGTGATATCAGAGACATGGTAGGTATAGAGGTTGTGTGTCCACAATGCATATTCTATGAAAAATGTGGATATTCATATTTGCCAAAGCAGATAATTGGTGTTATGCCAAGACTAACACAAAAAAATTATAAGTGAAATCATTAAAAACAAAAGTAGAAAGCTTTCCAAAAGCAAATGCACTAATTTGTGAGACTGGTCAGAACATAAAACTTACACCATTACAACATTGAGCTCTATTGTAATTCTACACTGGAAATCTTCAAACTTTACTACACAGAAAGCACCGGCCTTCATATCATTCAGAAATACTATGTCATTGTATTGGTACATAATTCATTGCAGAAAAGCTTATTTTCATTAATTCTATTAATATCTTGGTGACATACAAATAGTTGCATAATTTTCAAAGTTGAAACTGTTTTTTCTGCTCATAAATTGTGCAATTATTCAACTAGAGTATTCTATGTCATACAGATAATGTAACATCATTTTTATCACAAGGAATATGTTCAACAAGAGCTTGAACGGAACAAGACCAGGCTTCTAAAAGGGCTGGCATATTATGCTAAACCAAGGTACAACTGATGCTTTGCATTACTTTCATAAACTGATACTAACAAGCAAACACCACCATGACTGTATTTTTGTCACTTTAGCATGGCATCAAAAGAAAAATTTGAAAAAGAAACAAAAGTAAAGCCATTGAGGAGAGATTTTGCTTTAAAGCTTAGCAAGTTTCTTGTAAGTATTTATAGTTTTCTGAACTCCTCTCATAAAGGTGTCCTTCTAATTATTTTTAATTTATTGTTCTAATTGTTTTAGAATGTTGACGTGTTGCAAAGCTTGAAATTATTTCATAGTTATCTACAAAATTCTTACAGAGAGTCCAAAGAACAACTACAGGTTAAAATGCTGACAAAAATGTCTGCCACTCCTTAGAGATGTACAATTGATCAAGCAATTGACCATTTGCGTAATAGACAAAATTTTGATCTAAACAAGCCTAGACAAAAATTTCATCACAGCTTGAAAGAGCATCACAAAATTAATAATATTCCAAAGTTTCGTTGCGAAATGTTGTAAAATGCAGATAATATAGCCTTGCGAAGTTTGCAATTTTCAGTCATTTTAGATTACAAACGGGAAATTGACAGCCTCAAAGCATATCGGGCTGTCAATTTCCCATT